CGCCGCCCCGGGGCGAGCCGCGTGCTGCTGCTTGCGCCGGCCTGGTCCGGCGCCGCGTGCGCCCGCCTCTCCTCCAAGACCGATCCCCCGGCCTGACACACACACACACACACACACACGCACACACACACACACACACACACGATTGCCCTCACCAGTCGCAACCCACTAACCGCCCCTCCCGACTCGGTCCTCTCAAAACCCCCCTGTGCCAGGTTGGGGACCAGGAGTATGGCGCCCAGGACTTTTTCGGGCTCATAGAGGAGATGAGGGTTTGGAAGGTGCGTTCGAATCATACAATGCCTACCTGGGATTCGGCAAGCCAATTGCTAATGTTAGTTCCAGGGGGTAAAAAGGGAGGGCACGGGAGCAGGCGAGCCGCCCCGGCGCGCCGCGCTCGGCGCCGCCCGCACGTGCGCCTGCACCCGCCGGCAGCGCGCGTCTCGCCGCCGGCGGTCCCTCCAGGGCTGTTCCCCTTGTTGGCCCCCCGGTTATATTTGAAGAATGCATCCCTGCCGCCATCGCGCGTGTGCACCTCTGCATCAGGTGGTGCGCACCCCAGATCAGATCAGGGCGGGCATGGCGGGCGACGCAGGCGGCGCCGGCGTCGACAGGGACGACGCCAACCTCGTCGCATACTGGAAGTTTGACGAGGGCCGAGGTTACACCGTTAAGGTGCGACCAACCTCGGCTCCCTCAAACGCGGGCCGCTGCTCCGCGCGGTCTGTCATGATCTGTTGCCTGCACCTGAGCGCCCCGCGCCGGCGTCGAATTGGGTCGCGCGCAGACACTTTTCCAGCCCTCAATTTGCCCCTGCCCATAACTCCGCGCACGAGTTACGGCCCCCGGTCTCATCATCTGACCCCACCCTTCACGCTCAGCCCATGCTTATCAGCACACATACCCACATGCAGGCGCACCCACAATTTCTGTCGATTCCTATCATACGTGATTATTCCTGCAGGACGTCACCAACCACGGCCACGACCTCATCGCCGCAGAGGCCCCCACCTGGGAGGTCGTCCGCTGGCTGTCCTCCTGCGGCAACGGCGCCGTCGAGGGCGCCGAGGAGTGCGACACCGGCGACCGCCACGGCGGCGGCGGCTGCAGCAGCGACTGCAAGGTCGAGCCCGGGTGGACGTGCGCGGGCCGCCCGTCGCGCTGCACCAAGGGCGGCAGCGGCGGCGGCGGCGGCAAGCCCGCACCTGCTCCGGCGCCGGCGCCGGCGCCGGCTCCCAGTGGTGGCGGCGGCGGCGCTGGCGGTGGCGGCGGGCGCGGCAAGGGCGCCGCGATTGCGGCCGCCATCCTGGTGCCCGCATTCGTGGTCCTCCTGGCCGGCCTCGCCTGGGGCAGCCGCCACGCCGTGCTGGAGGCGTTCCCTCAAGCGCGCGCCGCGGCCGACGCGGCGCAGGCCGTGCTCGCGCGCGTCGTGCCCGGCGCGAAACCGCCGGGCGGCGGTTACGGGCGGCTGTCGCTCGACCCCGAGGAGCTGGACGTCAGCCCGGAGTTTCTCGCGCCGACGCCGCTGCGGCCGCCGGGCGCACCGGGGTCGTATCAGCCGCTGGCGGGCGGCGGCGGCGGCGGCGGCGGCGGCGCGACTTGAGGGGCCACAAGGAGGGGGGGGGCGCGCCAGGGTTTAGGCCCGCGTCGCCCGATTATTAGAGGGGGTTGTTTTTGAGGCTAGAATTCCGACCTTTGTTTGTGATGATATGTGCATTGTCAGGGTTGTGCATGGGGCCGCGCCCCAACGAATGGCACCAAGATTTGGGGCACCACGCGCCCCAGGGAGCATGCGTCTGTGGAAGGGGCGCCAGGGGAGGAGTGCGGGTCCCCCCAAACGCTTGGCAGGTTGTTGAGCAGCTGGCCGGGCGGCCCTGCTGCCGCCCAATGGACCTCGGTTCAGGTCGCACGCCCAGTGCCCTGCGCGGCCCGTGCCACAATCGGCTCGGCCGCGCCGAAGCTCCTGCCGCCCCTCCTATCCAGGCTCCCGCGCCAGCCCATCCCTTGACGCTTTGCTTTGCTCTCCTCCTGTACAATCAGCCCAGTTGTTTTTGCCAGCGGCATCATGTTGGCGGCGGCGACTGGAGGACGAGATGGCGCCTGATTGCTGGCGTATGATGCAGCAGATGCAAAATGAAGAGAAAGCTTACAAGTTGCTTGATTTTGATTTTCTTGGTGGCTCTGTGCTTGCTGATTTTGTTGCCCCTTATGTGTATGCTTGCTGGCAGATCCGTTGGAAGGTTAGGAATGAGGAGGTCCGCTCTGATGAGCGCGAGGCCGATGGCAGTGATGCTATGGTATGAGTAACTTATCTATCTATCATGTTGTCCCTGCCGCCGGACCTGTCACCCTGCTCTTGAGTTCACCGCAGCTTTTGACAGACTTTGCGATAATGATGGCTTGCGCGTCGCGCCATGCCAGACGCCGCCCGCCGCCCCCATGCGGCCGTCGCGCACCCAGCAACAGCGTCCTGCCGCAGCGGACGCGTGTGCATCAACACGTCGGGCGTCTGTGCCCGGCGCATCGAATGCAACTGCATGCACGACTCAGCGTGGTGAGAGGGGGGGCTGAAAGTTGTGCACGGGCAAACGCCGCTCGCGGCCCTCATGTGCTCGTTCAGCTGGGCCGGCGGCTGCCCAGCCAGTCAGCACATGCGGCCGCCATAGGCAGGATCGGCATATAAGAAGGGGTGCGCTGCTTGTTTGTGGCCCGCAGTCCAATCGTGCGGCAGCTCTGAGCGCTGTTTTTCAAACGGAGGCCCTTGCTGAGCGGATTCGGGGAAGCGGCTGGTCACTAGTGACAGCATTGGCCACCACTGCTGCGCCGTCAGCCGCAGGTTGAAATTTCGCCACGCGATGCAGCACTCCTGACGCCCAGATGACCCGCAGCTGCCCGGCGCCGGGCCGCCCTCGGCTGCGCGCTGCGCTGGCCGCTTCTGGGGCTGCTGGTAAACGCATCATCAGCGCTCCCAAGTCATCGCAAGCGCATTCCGCAGCCCCACGTCGTGGCCACACACCCCAGGTGCGTGCACGCGAAGCCCACCATCTTAAAATAGAATCATCTGGGCGACGAGGACGGTCGCACGGCGGTGTCAAGGCGGGCGCCCGCGACGCCTCGCCTCAACAATGGACTATCTTCCTCTTGGCAGCAGACCGCTCTTGTTGAGCCTTCGGCATGCTTCAGCCATGAAACATGTGTCATGGCTGCGAGGCAAAAGTATCTGTCTCAGTGCACTGTACAGTTGTGCTGCATCAAGCGAAGAAGTAATCTTCAGGCGAACGCTCTCCAGGCGCCATGTGCATGGCGCTCACAGGAGCGAGGGACCGCAAATGAACGGCGCACTGACGGCTGCACTGCACATGTATCTCAGAGCTGATGCCATGTATAGCAGCCTTAGGGAGAAACCAGATCGGCATCCTGGCCCTGGATGGATCCCAGCAGGGCTTCATTCTGGCACCTGCACAAAGCGCGCGCTCGCAGCAAGGCGATCAGGTGGCGACAACCCAAGCGCGCCGCGGCTCTCGCATAGCTGACAACGCCCACAGCTGGTGCAGGCATGTGCAACGCGGCACATCGTGGGATCCAATCAATCCTGAGTGGTGAAGGCGGTGGTGGTCCATACCGCGTGATCTCGGTCAGCTCAGGCGAGCAACGAGCGATCCAGACAAAGTGCGCGGATCAATACATCTGCAGCTATCCCTAAATTTTCCTTTCGATCCAGGATGCGCCCGATGGTGGAGTAGCCATCCAGCAGCTGTGGGAGGGCTAAACAATCCTGGTGCGGTGTGGCGCAAATATGTCTGCAGTCAATAATGTCTTTGCAAGAAATTTACACCTTGCACCTCGTGTTGCAGAGCACACCCACTTGGAAGGACGGTCCTCTTGAAGCCAAGGCGCGGGCTGCCTCGCCATCCCCTCCCTGCTGGATCATCAACCTTTCAGAAGGATAATCAGCACAGCTGGATCCTGTGAAAGGCCACAGAGGAGCCAAAGTGAGCTCGTGAAAGCAAGGGAGGAGGGACTCACGAAGGTGCCCTTTTGTGCCTCGCAGGCGTGGGCAGGTGCTGTTGTAAGAGTAAAATTCCTTTGCGTACGCTTCCAAATGGACCGCACCCTCGGGCTGCTGACTGCCGCGCCCCCTTTCGCGCGCCGCCGCTGCCCGCCGCTCCAGGGCAACAGGGCTCGTCCTAGCCGCCCGCATGGCCTCGGCCTTGCGGGCGGAGGACCGCGCGATCGAGGCCGTGAAGGCCGAGGAGGGGGCCGCGCTGGGGCCCGGCGCGTATGACGGGTCCGGCGGCGGTCTGGGCGGCGTCGCGTCGCCGCCGCTGCTGCTGCCCTCCGACCCGTCGCCCCATGGCGGCGCTGGCGGGCTCTTTGTGCAGCAGGTGTTCGGGCAGTACGGCGGCGGCGCGCCCGACGCCCACGCGCCGCGCCCGGCGGATCTCGACCCACAGCACGCGGCGGCGCTGGCCCTCCAGCAGCACCAGCAGCAGGAGCAGCAGCAGGAGCAGCAACAGCAGCAGCAGCTGCAGCAGTCGCTCTACGACGCCTCCGCCGCCGCGCTGCTGGCGGCGGCCCCCGTCGGCATACCCCAGTTCGGGGTCACGCTGCCCATGCAGTCTAGTAGCGGCCCCGGCGGCGCCGGCGACGACGAGCTCATGGGCGAGGCCGCCGGGTCCGATTCTGGCGGCGCGGCCAGCAGCGGCGGCGCGCCGGCCTACGCGCGCGATCAGCAGCCCGGCGGCGGGCGGCCGGGGGCGAAGGGCAAGAAGTGAGCGGCGCGCGGGCCTGCCTCCTGCCGCCTCGGCCTCGCCCCGCGGCGGGGCGTCTCCCTCCTGGGGCGTCTCCCTCCTGGGCCTCGTTTCGATTCGCCTGGATTCCCGCAGAGCTGCGTTCTTCAAGGGCTGCATGCCTTCTGCATCTCGGAGCCGCCCCTCATGCCCACACCCCCACCCCGCACCCACCTGCACACGCC